TTTGGCAATCTGGGCTCCGCGCCCTGTACGAACCCTTAGGAGCGAGGATTGAGGCTTACAGGATTAGGCAAAGGACCTGAGGGCAGGCCCACTCCGTGCCCAGAGGCACGGTTGCGGACACGTAGTACAACGCATACATATGTACGTATGTATGCATGTACGCATGTATGTAAGTATGTACGTATGTGTGTGTATTTGTAGGTGCATAGATATGTGTATATGTAAATATGTGTATGTATGCATGCATACATGTATACACATATGCATATATATATATATATAAATATATATATATATATGCATGCATATATATATATATATATGCATGCATGCATATATATATAGCATGTACGTATGTATGTATATGTATGTCTGTCTGTATACATGTATAATGTATGCATGTATGCGTGCGTGCATGTACGCACGGATGCATACATGCAGGTACGCATGTATTTTTCATGTATGCATGTATGCATGTATGCATCTAGGTCTGTATGTATGTGCTTGCGGATGCATGTATATATGCACGTATGTATGCATGTATGTATGCATGTATGTATGCATTCATGCCTGTATGAATGCTGATATATATATATGTATATATATATATATATATTTGCATGCATGCATGTATGTATGCATGACTGTATGCATACACGTATGTATGCATGCATGTATGTAGGCGTGTGTGTATGTTTGTATGAATGTCTGCGTGCATGCATGCATATATGCATGGCTGCATCCATGTATGTATGTATGCATGCATGTATGTATAGATGTATGTATGTATGACTGTTTGTATGTATGCATGGATGTATATATGTATGCATGCATACGTGCATCTATGTATATTTATATGCATGCATATATGTATATGTAGATGTATTTGCATATGTTTATGTACATTCATACACATGTATATGTATGTGTATATGTATATGTATGTGTTGCTGCACTTGGGTATCTGTTGTTGAATGCATTTATGTATGTATGCATGAATGCGTGTACACATGCATATGTATGCACGCATACGTGCATGTATGCATATATCTGTATATGTATATACATATATACAGATATGTATGTTTGCAGACGCACATGTCTGTATGTCTGTATGTCTGTATGACTGTCTGTCTGTCTGTTTGTATGTATGTATGCATGTATGTATTGATGTATGTATGTATGCATGCATGTATGTATGTATGTTTTTAAATGTATGTATGTATGCATGCATGCATGTATGTATGTATGTATGCATGTATGTATGTATGTGTGTGTGTGTGTATGTTCGTATGTACGCTTGTATACAAGCATATTTGTATATGCATGTTTGTATGCATGCATGCATGCATGCATGCATGCATGCATGCATGTATGTATGTATGTATGTATGTATGTATGTATGTATGTATGTCCATACATGCATGTACTTTTATCCGTAAGGGCTTCGCCCCCTGCCGCCGGCCCCCTCTCTCGGAGAATGGGCCATGGGAAAGCGAAGTCATGAGGCTTTGGCTTTGCCGTGAAGCAGTGTCGGGACCTATTTGTTTTTCGACCCTGACCCTGCCGATCTGCGTGAGGGGTGCCGCCGAATTTCAGACGTGGCAAATCCCTTTTGTTTTTGGACCCTGACCCGACGGATCTGCGTGAGGGGTGCCACCGAATTTCAGAAATGTTTCAAATCCCATGTGTTTTTTGACCCTGACCACGCCGATCTGCGTGAGGGGTGCCACCGAATTTCAGAAATGTGGCAAGTCCTTGGAGCGCCTTGTCGGGCCGCTGCGGAAGCGCTCCCGCTCGCGCCGGCCCGCACGGAATGCTTGTCGGGCCGCTCTGGAAGCGCCGCCGCTCGTGCAGGCCCCCACGGAATGCTCGTCGGGCCGCTCCAGGGGCGCTCTGGCTCGCAGGCCGAGCGCTTGGAAGCGCTTGGGCGCGCCTGGGGGCGCGCCTGGGCTTGGATTTCGGGCCTGCCGACGCCGCGCTCGATCCTGGCAAATCTGGTAGATTCGGGCCGACCCCTCTGGGGGCGCTCCGGCTCGCACGGAGCGCGTGGGCGCGTGGGCGCGCTTGGGAGCGCCTGGGCTTGGATTTCGGGCCTGCCGACGCCGCGCTCGAGCCTGGCAAATCTGGCAGATTCTTGCCGACCCAGCAAAATGTCAGTGGCTCTTCAAAAACGGCTCCCAATTCACATTGGGCTCCGGTACGTCCCCGGCCTAATTTCGGGCGGCCCGCTCGTGCCAGCTCGCACGGAGTGCTCGTCGGGCCGCTCCGGGGGCGCTCCAGCTCGCACGGAGCGCTTGGGCGCGCCTGGGAGCGCGCGGGAGCGCCTGGGCTAAGATTTCTGGCCTGCCGACGCCGCGCTCGTTTTGGGCAAATCTGGCAGATTCTGGCCGACCCAGCAAAATGTCAGTGGCTCCACAAAAACGGCTTCCAATACACACTTTCTTTATTGTTTGATCTGATTTTGGTTTCCGGTACGTCCCCAGCCGAATTTCGTGCGGCCCGCTCGCGCCAGCTCGCACGGAGTGCTCGTCGGGCCGCTCCGGGGGCGCTCCGGCTCGCACGGAGCGCTTGGGCGCGCTTGGGGGCGCGCAGGAGCGCCTGGGCTTGGATTTCGGGCCTGCCGACGCCGCGCTCGATTTGGGCAAATCTGGCAGATTCTGGCCGACCCAGCAAAATGTCAGTGGCTCCACAAAATGTCAGTGGCTTGATTTTGGGCTCCGGTACGTCCCCAGCCGAATTTCGGGCGGCCCGGTCGTGCTCGTCGGGCCGCTCCGAGGGCGCTCCGACTCGCACGGAGCGCTCGGGCGCGCCTTTGAGCGTCCGGGAACGCCGCGCTCGATTCTGGCAAATCTGGGAAATGCTGGCCGACCCGGCAAAATGTCAGTGGCTCTACAAAAACGGCTCCCATTACACATTTTCTTTATTATTTAATATGGTTTTGGGCTCTGGTACGTTCCCGGCCCGATTTTGGGCGGCCCGGTCGTTCCAGCTCGCGCGGAGTGCTCGTCGGGCCGCTCTGGGAGCGCTCCAGCTCGATTCGGGCGGCGGATCTGCGTGGGGGATGCCGCCGAATTTCAGAAATGTTGCAAATTCCCGTCGGTTTTTGGACCCTGACCCCGCCGATCTGCATGAGGGGTGGCAGGAAATTTCAGAAATGTGGCAAATCCCTGATGTTTTTGGACCCTGACCCCGCCGATCTGCGTGAGGGGTGCCACCGGATTTAAAACATGCGGCAAGTCCCATGGGTTTTTGGACCCTGACCCCGCCGATTTGCGTGAGGGGTGTTACCGAATTTAAGAAATGCGACAAAGCCCATGTGTTTTTGGACCCTGACCCCGCCGACCTGCGTGAGGGGTGCTACCGGATTTTAGAGATGTGGCAAATCCCATGTGTTTTTAGACCCTGACCCCGCCGCTTTGTATGAGGGGTGCCACCGAATTTTAGAAATGTGGCAAATCCCATGTGTGTTTAGACCCTGACCCCGCCGCTTTGTATGAGGGGTGCCACCGAACTTTAGAAATGTGGCAAATCCCATGTGTGTTTAGACCCTGACCCCGCCGCTTTGTATGAGGGGTGCCACCGAACTTTAGAAATGTGGCTCATCCTTTTTGTTTTTGGACCCAGACCCCGCCGATCTGCATGGGGGGTGTCAGTTTCCCCCCCCCCCCCCCCAGGAATTCTGAGAACCCTTCCAGGGGGTGACCAGGGGGTGATAACCAGGGTGGTTTTCGGCTCCCCCTCCTTCGCGCAGAGAGTAACATATTACAGTAGGAAGCAGGAAACCGTATTGTAACAGTGGAAGCTGGAAATTGGAATTGGTGGAGGGAGCAGCAAGCGTAATCCTCGCAGCCTGATGGCCCCGCAAGGGGGCCTGCAGATCAAAACACATATATATATATATATATATATATACACACATGTATGTATGTATGTATGTATATATATATATAAAAATATCGTGCAAGCTAGGTTGTGCCATTTACTTGGAATGCTCTATGTTATGCAATCTACGTTGTACACTATGTTGTACAACGCAGCTTGTGCAGGCAATGCTGTGGAATCTATGTGTTGCTACGTGTGTGGATCAATATGTGTGCTACGATTTATGTGAGCAATATGTGCGGATCAATCTGCGTGGTGCAATCTAGGCCCAGACGGTCAGATGCTGCTTGACAGTGCCATGTTTGAAGCAACGGTCACCAAGCAGTGCTTGCACTCGGGGGCTCTTACCTTCTTGGCATAAGGAAGTGGGCCCGTTTGGCGGTCTGGCGGCTACGTCGTCGCCGTTGCCGCCCCTTTGCCGCTTCGTCGCCGCCCGTCGTCTGGCCGTGTTGCAGTCTGGCGGCTAATGATGTCGTCGCCGTCGCCGCCCCTTCGCCGCCTCGTTGCTGCCCGTTGTCTTGGGCACGTGTGGAGGTGTGGCGTCTGTGTCGTTGCCGTCGCTGCCCCGTCGCCACGTCGAGAGTGCGAGTTCAGTACATCTCAGCGAGGTCTTTCCTGTTCCCTTGCCTTCGCCACCAGGTCTTTCCTCTCGGGAGGGAACGAGTATCAGAGACACACCGCGCTGGGGAGCCCGTCAGCCTATTGCTCTGTCGCTCTTGTCCGATTGCATGGTGTGTCTGCCTTCAGCTGGAGCACGCTGACGGGCTCTTCACGACGGCGTGTGAGCAACTAGTTTTGGTCCCCCCATCCTCGCGCCGCCCCTTCTCACGAGGGACAGAATTAGCAGAATTCTTTACGAGGTCCGTGCTGTCTTCTTGGATCGGCGCTGGACGCCCCTCCCTGGCGCGCGCAGCGTGCCAGGGAAGGCGCCATGGGTCTCCGGCAGCGATCCGAGAAATCTGCGCGGACTTTTGAAAGTTGATGTTTATGACAGTTTTGACAATTTTTGATCTTAGATTCTCGACAGCTTTGAGAATTTTTGACAGTTTTAAGTTTCCGTTTCTGTTCATGTTCATGCCAACTTTTGATCCTCGATTTTTCTTCCACGCCTCCGCATGCCTCAGGATACGAAGGGCGACGGCACGGCCGTGTCCAGCCTTCAGGAGACCAAGCGCTCGGGCGACCGCAGGCGTGCTCTCCCGTTTTTTTTTGTTGGTGCGCGCACCCCTCGTGAAGTGGTCCGTGCGGCCACCTCCGTCGAGCAGGAGGAGGAGGATGATGATGATGAGGAGGAGGAGGAGGAGGGTGGAAAGGAGGAGGAGGACGAGGAAGAGGAGGAGGAGGAGGAGGAGGAGGAGAAGGAGGAGGAGGAGAAGGAGGAGGAGGACGAGGAGGAGGAGGAGGAGGAGGAGGAGGAGGAGGAGGAGGAGGAGGAGGAGGAGGAGGAGCTGCCCGGCTCCCCTTGGCCCACCCGTGGCCGCCCCACGGCCTGCCTGTGGCTCCGCGCCGGCCTCGTCGATGTCCGAGGGGCCTCGCCCGGGAGGCATGCCGTCACCAGCCCCGAGCGCGGGCCCCGAGCGGTGTGGTGACCACACTGCGTGGTGAGCCAGTGTGGGACTCCTCCTCCGCCGCCTCCTCCTCCTCCTCCGCCTCCGCCTCCCGGGTCGTTCTTCGACGTCCCGGGCGACAGGAGCCTCCCAGGTCCCAGAACGGTGCGGTGACAGACAGCTGGGTGAGAGCTCTTGGGACTTCGAGGTCACCGCGCGGTCCGTCGCCACACGGTCTTGGGATCCCCGACTTGACGTTGGTGCTTCGTTCTCCACGGGCCACGGAAGACCTCCGCGTTCTCGCCCTGATTCTCAGGGGCAACGTGTGGGGGCTCACGCGGAGATCCATCGCCCTCCACTTGCCTTTCACTGCCGACTGGGGCCCGATGGCCCACCCTGCCCTGCAATCTGCGGATTCGCTAGTGGGGTCCCATCGCCGATCTATCGCCAGTCCCCAGGGCCGGCCTCACCACAACGTACCAATATGTGCGCGTAGCCCCCCCTGGGGCGACGCGCGCATCGGGAAACTCATAGTATATGCGTCGTGGCGGGCGCTTTCTGGCCACACCGCTCGGGAAACGACATACTAAAGGATGTGTATACTATGTGCGCGGGTCGGACGTGTGCCTCCACGGAGGACATCAGTGTGTCCCTGTGCGTCCCGACGTCGTGATCTTTCACAGCGCGGGCCCCCGGAGGTCCCGGCCCCTTCCTCCGGACCCTTTCTCCCATCCCGAGTCGTCTCCTTTGTGAGGGCCGCGGGGCCCGGCAGGAGGGCCCCCCCCGGGGGCCGCGCAGACCACTCTCCTGCCGCGGTGTCTTCACGACGCGAGGGGGCTTGCGCAGGCGAGGTCCCCATCCCAACGCCCCGACCTTCTCGACGACGAGTGAAGCGGCGAAGAAAAGGAGGCAAGCCCTGGGATGCACCCCCATGGGGGCTGCTCGGACGCTCCCCATGTCGAGGATGGGCGCTCCCCTCCGTCTATCCTAGGGTCGGGCCCCAAACTTTTGGTCCATGCGAGAACCCCACGAAGCCCGGGGTAGGGGTCGACATATCCCCTGTTAGACTTGGGCCTATTGCACGAGGGTCCAGCCGAGACCTCGCGGCTTCCTTGGGGGGGGTGCGACGTGCGCAATTATCGCCTCTTTCGTGAGCTCCTTGGAGGTCCAGCGTGGTGGAGTGACACGCGGATCCAGCCGCCCCTCAGACGTCCAATCGACCTGCTACGAAATGGCGTCCCCGGCTTGTGCTCCCGCCTCGGCGCCAGCAGCCGCGCTCTGGGCTCGGAGGGGTGCCGCAACCTCTGGTCCCGTCGCACACCGCGCTCGGAACGATGCTCGGGCCCCACCGCTGGTCATATCAGGGGCAGCGTTCGGGTTTTGCTAGAAGTGCCCCTGGCCAAGGGGCTCCCCAGGATTTCCAAGGAGGCTCGACGGCCTCCAGAGCGCCCCTCACGAGGCTCAGTGGGCCCCAGGGGTTCCAAAATTGAGCTCAAAGCTGGGGGCACCTTGGGCCAAGGGCACTCTCAGCAGGCCCCGAATCAGGGGCACTGTTTGGGGGGAAGTAGGGCGTGTCTGGGCGGTTCTGTGCACGCCTCCGGCACCCGCGCACGAGGACTGCATGCTCTGAGCGCGGCCTCCCCTCCCCCCGCGCCCCCTCCGCCTCCCGCCGCGCATGCTTTGGTGCCTCAAGTCAAGCTCGCCTCGGAAGCGCCCCCTCCGTCGCTCGAGTGCTGCTCGTGTCAGGCGGCCGCAGACCCCAAAAAGTGCTCGGGCGTTGTCGCGGTCCTCGGCGGCCCTCCGGCCTCGCGTGTTGCCTTCGGCGCCTGCGCCTCGCCGAGAGCGCACTCCGGGGGGGGGCCCGCGGATCGCTCCGAGCGGCCGCGAGATGCCCGGGTCCGAAGGCCGTCGGGGGCGCTCTGCTCTCGGGGGCAGCGTCGGGGAGAGCTGGGCTAAGGGGGGGCGGACACCTCGACATCCCATCGCCCACTCGTGGCCGAGCGGGGCCCGGCAGCCCGCCCCCGTGCGGGCGGCGCCCGCGGCCACGCCGGCCGCGCGCGGCGGCCGAGACGCCAGGAGCCGCTGGGGGAGGCAGGCCGGGAGCCCATCAAGGCAGTGAGGGAGGTCGGGGATGGACAGAACCCCCTTTAGCACAACGTGGTTTAGTGAAAACGACCTGAGGCCCAAACCTGGCGGGCGCGAGCCTGGAAAATAACGGCCACGGCGCCCTCTCGAGAACCGAAAACGGACAATTCACTAATCGACGTGTCACTGTTGGGGGTTCTGTCCACCCCCGAGGAGGTCGTGCTCCAGGCAGCTCGGGCGAGGACACGCTCCAGACAGCCCTGGCTCGTGCGGGCAGCAGGCCGAGAGGTCGGGCCACCTTCCCTCCCGGGGCGGCACCCTGTCCACACCGTAGCAGGGGAGAGCGCGCTCGCGGCTATCGGCTCGGGCGGAGCGATCACGCACCGCGCGGGAGGGCCGTGGAGGTCGCTCAACTGCATCTTCGGGGCCTCTCTCCCTTGCCCCGCCTCCCCGGCCCCCCCGCCCACTCGCCCGCAGGGCTCGGCCTAAACGTTGTTTTGGCGATTTTTCGTGGGCCGTTTTCGTCTCAGTTCCGTTTCGCAGGAGTGGCGGGGCGAAGACAGAGCGAGGGAGAGCGAAAGCAGCACGAGAGCGAACCACACGATGTAGGTCGAGAGTCCACTCGCTTCGGCTTGCCGCCCCCTCGTCTGCAGCTGCTCCATCCTTCGCTCCTCCTTCGCCCTCTTCTACAATTGCTTCTTCTGCGCTCCTCCTTCGCTTCTCCTTCGCCCACTTCCTCCTTCGCTCCTCATCCTCGCCGTAGCCTCTTCCGCAGTTGCCCCATCACTCTCTCCACTCTCTCTCTCTCTCTTGCACTGCTTTCTCACACACGGGACCGCCAACATTGACATGAACACGTGTTTGCGACACGCGCGACGGGAGGAAACGGGGCCCCCTGTGCCGACCTTCTCGCGCAAGCTTCCCGAGGTCGCGCGTAGGCGCCCTCGCTTCCAAGGTGGTGTGCCGCGCCGGCGGACCGCGTGAGCCGCCGCGCAGGGTCGCTGTGCCGTCTCGCGGAAGACTCGTTCCCCTCCGCTGTGCACAGGCCATGTTCGATCGGAGCGCTCCTGGCCCCTCAAAAAGGTCGCCCCCGCTGAGGAGGAGGAGGAGGAGGAGGAGGAGGAGGGGGAGGAGGAGGAGGAGGAGGAGGAGGAGGAGGAGGCTCTGCCGCCGTCCTTCAGAGTGGCGTCCGACCCCGGTGCGGGCCACGCTTCTGGATGCCGTTCGTCCCTCGGTCGCTGCCGCCCCCCCCCTCCTTTCCTTTCCCCTCCTCCCCCTTCTCCGACTCTGCTGCTCCTCCGGCTCCTGCCGTTGCTGCTCACCTTCTTCCAGCTCCTCCCCCTCCACTGCTGTATGGGCAGCAGGGTCCTCAAGGACACCCTGGTCCGTCGATAGAAGAGGGTTCAACGTAGTGGGAAGGGACGGTGGGAGGGGTAGGAAGGCAGGATGTCCGACGTGGCGCAAGCACACCCAGCTTGTCCCCTTTCCCTCGCCCCTCTCCCTCCTCCCCCTGCTCGCTCCCCCCTCCCCTTTCTCCCCCCAACCCACTCCACAAGCAAATTCCATCGAAGCTCTTCGCTTAAGCACTGGGGTAGATGGTCCTTCTGGCTGGCTCCATATCGCAGTTTCTTCGTCAGCGTACTTCAATGTGGCGGGCTGGACAGCAGACCGTGGAAACCGAATTCCAGTAGATAGCGCCGCTGACAAGCCTGCAGGAGGCATACTCCGACGGTCGACTGTAGTCGCGCAGGTCGATGTCAGGACGGACTACATCCGTGAGGGGCGCTCGGCTTGCGCGGTCCGTCGACCTCCTTCGTCTGTCTCCTCTGCTCGCCGCCCCCCCTGCCGGTGGAGGCACTGCAAGTGGTGTGCGAAGTACAAGCCTGATCGATGCCATCACTGTCGAGTGTGTCGCATGTGCATCCTGAAGATGGACCACCACTGCCCCTGGATCTACAACTGCGTGGGGTTCAGGAACCACAAGTGCCGGCCTCCTCCTCCCTTCTCTCCGTGGCAGGAGGCGCCCGTTCCTGTCCCCGCCCTCCCACGCTCCTCTCCCCCCCCTCCTTTCTTATCTCCCGCCCCTTCCCTTCCCCGTCCTCTTCTCCTACTCCTTCCCCTCATCCGACCCCTCCCCCGTCCTCTTCCCTCCCCTCTTCCTCTCCGTCACCATCGGTCTGCACCGGGAGGGGACGCAGGCGTAGGGTCTTCGGCATGGATCTCTGGCCGTCTCCAGCAGAGGCGAGGTTCTCTGAGGCACATGCGTGCTGGTAAGGTGCAGGTCTCGTGGAGTGGTGGCCTCCGCGATCTCGAGCAGCGCGGACGTTGCTCTGAGGTGGAAGGCATGGGCTCTGCCATTCGTTGGGCTTGCGGCCAGTCTCTTCGGCCAGGCGCCTAAGCGTCTGTCTGTTCCGCCCGCGACGTTCTCGTTCTGATTTTCCACCTGTCGTCAGTCCAGTGGTTTGCGTGCTGCATTCGCCTGCCCTCGGTGACAACAGAGTGTGTTCGCCAGTGGGGTTGGGACGTGTTGAGGCCGGGCTCTGTGATGTCTGCACCGTCATGGGCGCAATCTTCGAAAGCTTGCTTGGGGGTTGTTTCGGGAGGTTTCCCGTCGGAAAAAGCTATCCAGGTGTGCTTGGCCAGCTGTTGGTGGCGGGGAACTCTGAGCATCTGGTGGCTATCGGCCCATCCCGCCACCGTGCCTGTGACGTGGATGCCTCGCGGGGGCCCCTTGGAGGGCTCTGGCGGGATTCGTGGGGCCTCCGAGGGGCCTCGGAGGGTCTCCCGGGGGCCTCCTCGGGGCCCTGTGGGGGCCTGCCGACGGCCTCGCGAGTCATCTCGGGGCGGCGGGCTCGAAGTTGCAGTTCGTGTTCACCCTCGTATCCTCTCTCGGGGCCCTCTTGGGGTCGTCTTGGTGCGCTTCTGGGCCGTCTTGGGGCCCTCTGGGGCCGTCTTGGGATTTTCTTCAGTGGGGGGAACGAGACAGGCGGCGGGTCGCCAGCTGTCGTGGTTGGCACTACTTGGGGTCCGGTAGTAGCGGAAGAGAGGCAGCGACGAAGCGGAGGAGGAGTAGCTCGCACGTGGACCCTGCACGGTTGGGTGGCAGGACTGCAGGTCGTGGGGGAGGACGTGCTCTTCGCCTCCCCTCCTCAGTCAGGTATTTCTTCCTGCTGCTATTCTACGCCACGATCGACTGCCACCTGATCACGTGGACGATGCTCGAGTCGGTGAAGGATCCGCGCGGCCGGTGCGCTGCGCCTGCTGCCCGTGCCAGGAGCAGACACCAGAGGAGACGGGCCGCTGTCGCAATGACACCGGGCTTGGGCCTGGTAACATACACTCGTTTTTTTTTTTTTTTTTTTTTTTTTTTGTTTTTGTTTGTTTTTTGTTTTTTGTTGGTCCTGGCCAGGTTCTGTAAAGTTGCCAATCGGTGGGCGCCGCGTGGATGGGACACCGTCTGGCTCTAAGTTGGCGGGGGATGGTGCCACCCGGTTTTTCTTCCGCAGAGGGGTGCGGTCGGGAGAGTGACCGTGGGACTTCGCTGAGTGGGTTGGGATTCCAGCCTGTCGACTGGTTTGTGTACAACGTTTGAATATTTCGTTTCCTGTGGCAAGTTCCGCCACCGTGCCCAGCACTCGGTGAAGCGACCCTCCCATACTTGCCCAAAGTGTAACGTGTGGTCAATTTCGATCTTCATGTTCTGTCAGACGCCTCCTGCAGGCCCGAGAAGGCCCCGAGGGAGGCGTGATAGTCGCTTGCTTCGGGTCCAAAATGCCCAGTAGCTGTAACGTGTGCTGCCATTTTGTTTCAAATCTACGTCGACCGTAACATGTAACAGCTCGCCTCCTCGATGGAGAAGCGCCCTTAACAGGCCGGAGGAGAGAGAGAGAGAGAGAGAGAGAGAGAGAGAAAGAGAAAGAGAGAGAGAGAGCGAGAGAGAGAGAGAGAGAGACAGAGTGAGAGAGAAAAAAAAAGAGAGGGGTCGAGGGCCAAGCTGGTCTCTGCGGCGGGTGGGTGGGGGGGTGGGCCCCCCTACCACCCGCGCAAGAGGGGGTGGGCCCGAGCGCGCCGCCCCATGGGCGGCGCGCGTGCGAGTGGATCATCGTCCACCAGCTGGCGAACTCTTACGCTGGACGTCGACAGCTTCGGCTACGAGAGTTAACCCTCATCGGTGGATGTTGCCGGCAAAATGCCGAGACTATATTCTGGGGCGCTGCGTACTGGGGGGATCGTAAATGGGGGGGGCGGCGAGTGTGGTCCGAGAAGGTACCCAAATGGTGCCTAAACGAGCCCCCTGGGGCTGTGGAGGGGCCCGAAAGGGGCACGAAATGGGACCTTTTCAGACCCCCCCATTTGTGACCCCCCCATTAAGCCACGCCCAATATTCGGATAGAGAAATACGAATTCATGCAGCTTTCGAGAGACTGGGCTACCTCCTCTGACACGGGCTACAACCACACTTCAACGATATTGTGACCATCGGTACAACAGCTTTCATGGTGGCGTCCACTACAGGCCAGGGTGGGTTGCGTAACAGGCAACCAGAGGAATAGATGTGTTGTATGCAACCCGAGGAAGAGCTACGTAACAGGCAGCCTAAATACGACTCCAAGTACGCCCTCAAGACCGACGCCAGGAAGGACGCGACCGAGCAGGCTGAACAAGTTTTCTAAGTGCGTCATCGTGGATATGCCCTTGGAGAAGGGCCGCGCCGCCTGCGACGAGTGCGTGTACGGCCGCGCCGCTTTCGACGAGTACTGCTACTACAGCGTGTTCGATAGCGACCTGTGCTCCTGCGACCCCCAGGACTACGACCGACCCCAGGGGTGCGACGACCGCCAAAACTACAGGGACGCCCAGAACGTAGAACATTACGCTGTGGCAGCCGACGGCTTCGACTCGGTCCCCAGGGGCTACGAACGCAGAGTGGGACCGCGAGCTGAACTACGAGGACCACGCGCACAGCTACGAGAGCCACCGAGAGAGCTTCAAGTCCCACGCGCCGAGCTACGAGACCCGCTAGCGCATCCACGAGAGCCACAATCTCACCTGCGCGGGCCGCGATTTGAGCTGCGGGAAGCAGGGCTACGAGAGCCACCGGCTGAACCACGACAGCTACAAGCTGTGCTACGGGGTCCACGAGCTGAGCTGCGGTAGCCACAACCAGAGCTGCAAAGGCCACGACCAGAAGGGCAGCAGGACCTACCCACCGCGCTGCGAGGTCCACCTGCCGGGCCAAGGGGGCCGGGGGGTGAGCGCCGAGGACCGCGAGTTCAGCCACGAAAGCCATAAGCAGGACTACAGGCACTGCCACCTGCGGGGCCACCAGCTGAACTACGAGGGCCCGCCAGCTGAGCTACCAGAGGCACCGGCTGTGCGACGAGGATCGCGCGCGCAGCTGCGAGAGCTACGAGTGCCATCTGTTGGTCTACAAGGGCCACTGCCAGAGTTACGCGTACTACAGGAAGACTTGCCTGGCCCCCCTGCAGAGCGACGAGGGCGACGAGGTGAACGGCAAGGACCAGACTAGAACTCCGAGGCCCACCAGCTGAATTGCGAGGCTCACAGGCAGAGCGTCGGGGGCCATTGCCTGAGCTGCGCGGGCCACGAGCAGACTTGCGATAGCCTCCAGCAGCGTTGCCGGGCCGACGAGATGAATTGCAAGCGCAGCCAGCTGGGCAACGCGCTGGTCCACGAGGAATGTGCTGAGCAACTGGAGCCGTGCGCTGAGCTTCCGGGGCCGCGGGCAGGGCTTCGAATGCCGCGGGCAGCGCTCCGACGGCCGCGAGCTGAAGTGCGAGAGCTACGAGGGCCGCCAGGTGAGCTGCCCAGGCCGCGACCTGAGCTGATCGGACTGCGCGAAGAACTACAAGAGCCCCCTGCAGAGATGCCAGGGTGGCGAGCCGAACTGCAAGACCCAGATGCATAATGCAGAGCCGCCGGCCCAGCTACAGAGGCCACCTGCGGAGCTACGGGGGCCGCGACGAGAGACGCCGCCAGAACCGGTGGGGCTGCGAGCTGAGCTGCGAGGCCACGGGCGCAGCCCCGAGACCTACGAGGGCCACCTGCTGAGCTGCGAGGCCCGCGACCAGAGCTACGCGGACTTCAGGGAAACCTGCTGGAGCCTCCTGCGGGGTGTCTGGGGGGGCGAGCTGGACTGCGAGAGCCAGGGGCTGAGCTCCGAGAGCCACCGGTTGAGCTGCGAGGGCTTCCGCCCGAGCTGCGGGCGCCGCGACCTGGGCCGCATGGGCCACGTGCAGAGCTATTTCAGCTAGCAGGGCAACCGTCTGAGCTACGACGTCTACGAGGGCCGCCAGCTGCGCGCCGTGACGATCAGGGCCGCCAGTTCCCTGGCGGACGGACAAGTTCAGCAGTGCGTAATAATGCAACGGGGTCACGCAGCAGACGCAGCTGTCTCTCCCTCCCAGACGACGGGGTGCAACAACCAGCCTCCCTACCACCTGGCTGGGGCAGCTACCCAAAACCGTTGATTCCGCAGTGCGCTCCAGGAAATTACGACGCGGAAGCTGCCGCGCAGATGCGGGGGCCGCCAGCAGACCAGGTCCGCCGATATACCCTGTCTTAGCTGCTTCAAGAAATCAGCTCATCCACGGTGGCCGCCAGCAGAACTACGTTGAGACTGGCCTACCTGAAGCCGCTGATTTTTTCCCGGCATGCGTTGCCGAATGCCTGGGGCGCGCGACGTTTTCGGCGCTGCGGGCAAGGTGCGCCGCGTGCAACGTTGCGCGCGAGAGCGCCGTCCTCCGCGCGTTCAACTACTTCCCTGGAGCGGCCCTGCCGCCCCCTCCGACCTCCCGTCCTCTCTTTTTTTGGGGCCCGGGATTGCGCCGAGCGGCTCGTCGCGCGGCCGCCCGGGCGCGCGCGGGCGCGGACAGCGGGCCGCAGATGCGGTTGCGAGACGGGGGAGAGAAAGAGAAAAAGAGAGATATATATCTATATAGATACAGAGAGAGAGAGAGAGAGAGAGAGAGAGAGAGAGAGAGAGAGAGAGAGAGAGAGAGAGAGAGAGAGAGAGAGAGAGAGAGAGAGAGAGAGAGAGAGAGAGAGAGAGAGAGAGAGAGAGAGAGAGAGAAAGAGAGAGAGAGAGAGAGAGAGAGGGAGAGAGAGAGAGAAAAGGAGAGAGAGAGAGAGAGAGAGAACGAGAGAGAGAGAGAGAGAGAGCGAGAAAAGGGTGGTCAGGTGTCGAGTAATGGGAGTGCTATCAATGGGGGGTTGACGACGAAATGTGCGCTTTCCGTGCCCTGAATTGTGCCCCGAAGGGGCTATCGGGCCCAGAAGGGGCAGTTGTGCGCATCTCCCCCCCTCCCCTCTTTACAGTCGGGGCGCTGAAGAAGGAACCCTTTTCGTTTGGGAAGGGGCTCCGTGTTCCTGAGTTGTTTTTTCAGTTTGCCTGGGGTTTTCCTGAAGTGATCCATGGGAAGTCGAGGTTGCACGATTGGGAAGAAAAGGGGCCTCGTTCCTTACTCAGGGTTCCTTAGGTCAACGTCCCCCCTGATGGCTCCCCCGCTCGCTAACGCACGAGGAGGGATGCAGGGGGAGTCTCGCAGTGACTGCTAAGGCCCTCGTCGGCCTTCGGGGGCCCCTGGGCCCTCCGAGATCGGCCCCGGGGGCGGCCTGGGAGCCCCTCGCGACGTCTTTGGGCTGACCTCGTGTGCTTCCGAGATTTCAGGCAGACTCAAGAGCCAAAGGAAACCAACAGGAGCATCTTCGAGCTGTCTTGTGCGGGATGTCGCCTCCGTGGACCAGATCTATGGCTCGAGGCTGGCTTGGATCTCTCTCCGCAAAAGACCCTGGCAGTGGATCCAGGCCGAGACGTGTTCGCCTTTTCAAAACTCACGACGGGAAGTTTCTTTGCCGTTTTCGGTCTCCAGGGCCCCTCGCCAGAACATGTATCGGGATGAAACACGGGCCTCGGGGAAAGTGTCGGGGTTTTCGGGAACCGCACATTGAACAAACATCATAACAGCGCAGGAGGACCGAATAGACACAGACACGAATCAATGTCGATGTCCATGAGAATATGGGGAAACATGGGACATGGAGGGGAGAACGAAAATCCAGGACATGTGTACCAATATGGGGAATCCTGGCAGTGGTGTTCTGCTTTTGTGCCTCCCTGGGCCCCTTTGATCACGCATGTGTGGGGCTAGATCCAGGGTGTCCCAGTGCGCCGAAGCCACCAGAGGGAGGTCTCGAGGCTCGAGCGGGCCTCGCGCGCCTGAGGCTCCACAGCGAGACCCTCGGTATGATGTCCGATGAAACGATGCCCCGTGAAGATCCAGACTCCGGGCTGCAGTGCGCGGGCGCCGATACCGCCCTGGGACCTTTTGTCGATGAAGCGACCTCGATTTCCCTTGCTCGGCCGTGGTGTGCCGACGCCAGCGCCGTTCTGATGGTCGTCTGGTCGTGGCCTTCTGCCCATCCCGCCGCCCCTCTTTGATCGCGGAGAAGAGGCTTCGTCGAGGCTTATTGGGGTCTCTTGGGAAGTCTCTCGGGGACATTTTGGAGGCATCTTCGGGTTCTCTGGGGCTCTCTTGTGAGCCTCTCGGGGCATCTTGGGGGTGTCTTGGGGGCCTCCTTGCTGCTGGCAGTCTGGGGGGCCATCTTGGCAATAGGCTCAAGTGTAAGTTCGGTTTCCTTCTTTCTGGCCCCTCTTGAGGTCCTCTTTGGGCCATCTTGGGTCCTTTTGGGCAACTCCTGAGTCGTCTTGGAGCCCTCTTGGGCCCTCTTGATTGGGCCCTTCTTTGGGGCCCCTTGGGCCGTCTTTGAGCATCCGAAGCTCAAACAGGCGAGAACTCCCCAATCTTTCACAAGCCTAGCGGAAATCAATGGTTTTGGCTTCTTGGGGCCCTCTTGGGGTTGCTCGGGGGCCTCTTGGGCCGTCTGCCGGGCATCTTGGGCGCCTTGGTGCGCTCTTGGGCGGACTCGGAACCTTTTCGGACCGAGTCGCGGACCTCTTGTAAGAGTCACGCGACAAGCCCCAGGAAACCCGTGAGTTGGGGGTCCAGGCCCTTGAACTAATGTCGCAACGCTCAACACAAAGGACCCAGAGGGACAACGGAGATCCCGCTCAGTGCCTCGTGGCACGGTGGCCGACATCCGACGAAGCGACATTGGCTCCCGATTCTGTGCTGCAGTGCCTTGGTGCCGACCCTCCAAGCAAGCAAGCAGAATGCTGAGTACGAAATGCACATGAGCACATAGCCACTATCACGTGGTATCGCAATACTTGCTGACTGCGACACGCCGCGCCGTGGCGGAAGAAACGGTGTCCTGCCGACCCTCCGGCCCTCCCAAATGGGGTCCGAGCGGATGGGGCTGGAGGATCGCGCCGCATCGCCGCTGCACCGGCTGTGCGGCTCGATGCGGAGCCCGCTTTTCTCCACGCCGCCAGCGCCGATGCGCCGCTGACGCCGCCGAGGCGTCGGCGATGCATCGGCGATGCGGCGCAGTCTTCCGACCCCACCCACGGTAGGTTCGTGTCGTGTCGACCGGCGGCAACCCCGCGGCCGGCGCTCAAGGTGGAACGCCGCCGTCGACCCCGCTGCCGGCGTTCAACGTTGAGCGCCGCGGTCGACCCTCGCAGGCGATTTCTCTCCCCCAATCCCCGACTTCCGCCAGAAAAGTTTGGTCGCTCAGAAAAGGGGAGGAATCTTGGGATACATCCCGAGGGGGCTATTCGGACGCACCCCTGTCGAGGATGGACGCCCCCCCCTCGTATATCCCAGGGTTGGGCCCCAAATTGTTAATCCTCTCGAAAACCTCACTGAGCCTGGGATAGGGGTCGACGCATCCCCTGTTAGACCCAGAATCAATCGGTCGATGCTGAACGATCTGGCGCTTCGGAAGCGGCCGATCGTTCGAGGTCGTTCGAGGTCGAACGATCCCCGCGGTGTCAGGAAGCGACTCCCCCTGAGATCCGACGTTGCAGAAAAGTGCGACACCGCAGAAAATCACGCCCGGAGCTCCGGACCCCCTCTTCCTGCGTCACTTTGCGAGCCGGGTCGATCTGTGCGGGCCCCGGGGCCCGAGACCCAGCGAAAGCGCTGCTTGCGAACAAGAAGTTGCCACGCCAGGCTCTCCGGGACGCCAGGGCCGCCACGGCGCGAGCCCGCCGCACTCAGAAACCCCCCTCCTCGGGCGGCCCCCGCAGCCCGAGGCCTCCGCGCCGCCGGGCTGCCGGCGCCCCCCCGGGGGCTCGAGGCGCTCCGAAGGGCTCTCGGGGTGCGCCGGGGGGGGCGGCGCTGCTCGGGCGCCGCGGCGCGGCCACGCATCGAGGGACAGAACGCGGTGCCCACGACAGGCAGTAGTCGGGGGTGGACAGGAACCCCCAACAGAGGCACGTCGATTAGTGAATTGTCCGTTTTCGGTTTTTTCGAGAGGGCGCCGTGGCCGTTATTTTCCAGGCTTGCGCCCGCCAGGTTTGGGCCCGAAGTCGTTTTCACTAAACCACGTTTTACTAAAGGGAGGTCTGTCCATCCCCGAAGTAGGCCTCCCAGGTGGGGTCCGAGCAGATTGAGTTGGAGGATATCGTTAAGTAGGGCGTGTCCCCCCCACAGGGGGATTTTTTCGAAATAAGAAATAGTCAAAAGATGCCTCAAAATGATAAAACAGATATTTTAAGACTAGTCCCCATGTAGAGGGACAGGCCCGATTTAAGGATATCTCCGATGCGGCTCGATGCGGAGCCCCATTTTCTCCGCGCTTGCGATCCCGATGCGCCGCCGACGTCGCCGATGCATCGGCGATGCGGCGCGATCCTCGGGCCCCATCTTCTCGGGCCCGATTTAGGAGGCCTCTACATGGACCAACGTTTGCAGGAGGAACAGATACCTATACCGCTACCCTTCCCTCGACATCGCAGCTGGATTTGCCTCGAAATTCTGGTCAGAACGCACCCCTTGAGAGGTCCGTGGAGTAGCGGTATCGATATCATTTTGGTTTCACCGAACGGGTCGGGGGATATCGGCAACGCCGATTTTGGTCATGGTCCGTGCTGGCCGTTGCCGATTCGCGAGCATGATCCACGAATGGATGATGACCGAAGTATACGATGACCAAGATCGGCACCGACGTTTCAGCGTTCAGCCTTGGTCGTGGTCCCCGCTTTCATTCCCTCCAGCGCATGGGCTCTCGGGCGCCAGGGCTCTGCGTGCAGTCTGCATGCTGTCGCCGCCGAGGGCACTTCAGGCACCGGTGGGCCCAGGGGGGGAGGAGCAGGGGGGAAGAGGAGACCTGATTCCAGTAGAGTCGTGTCGTGTCGACGCGGCGGCGACCCCCGCGCGGGTTCGAGCTTGAGCGCCGCCAGTTGCTCAGAGTCGGCCGATGTGGGACGATCTGACGGTCGAGCGTTCGAGGTTGAACGATCTAAGTGGTGTCAAAAACCAGCGCCAGGGTCGTCACGACAAGAGCCTGCCGTACTTGTCCCTGCGACTACTTTTCGTATGTTGTTCCCTCTGGGGGGCTTCTTCGTCGCGCCGACTGGAAGTGGATTGAGAGCCTCTTCAATACGCGACTGCGAGTTCAGGACCGCTAGTGAGAGCATGTTGGTCAGGAGGAGAGATACGCGGCAGAGAAAAGATGCCAGCACGGGGACCCCAACATATCATTCGTGCAACAAGCGAGGACCCCCATCCATGTGTGTGTGTGTGTGTGTGTGTGTGTTCGTGCGTGCGTGTGTGCGTGCGTGCGTGCGTGCGTGCGTGCGTGCGTGCGCGCGCGTGTGTGTGTGTGTGTGTGTGTGTGGAAGGAAGGAACTTCATGTGCGTGGAACCCCGCTCACGGAAAACCCAGAGCAGATGGAACCCTGTGTGCGTTGAATGCTTTGTGTGTGGAGCTCAATGTATGGAGAAACCCAGTGTGAATGCAATCCTACGTACGTGGAATGCCATGTGGGCGTGTGTGTATCAGTGGGGCGGCTCCTCCTCCTCCTCCTCCTCCTCCTCCTCCTCCTCCTCCTCCTCCTCCTCCTCCTCCTCCTCCTCCTCCTCCATTCATTTTCCTTATCAATACTTTCTCCCTGTCGCACCCCGACGCCAGTTTTTAGGGCGGGCTGGGCGTTTCGCCTGAGACTTCCTCACCATTTATGACTCTGAAGCTTAAAAAATGACAACCGTTTCACAGATGGAGGGCGAGTGGTTTTCAAAATGTGGCTCTCGCTTTAGCGCCGCGCACATTTGTTTAAACATATTGCCAGAGTTTCACGGATTGAGGGCGGGTCGTTTTCACAATGTGGCTCTCGCCTCAGCGCCGCGCACATGCGTTTTCAACAGTTGCAAGAGCTTCACGGATTTAGGGCGGGCCGTTTTCAACATGTGGCTCTCGCCTTCGCGCCGCTCACATTCGTTGAAACATTTGTAAGAGCTTCACGGATTGAGGGCGAGTGGTTTTCAAATTGTGGCTCTCGCCTGAGCGCCGCGCACATTCGTTGTAAAGCTTTGCAAGATTTTCACGGATTGAGGGCGGTTGGTTTTCAAAATGTGGCTCTCAACTTTGCGCCGCGCACAGTCGTTTCAATAATTTGCAAGAGTTTCACGGATTTAGGGTGGTTCCTTTATCAAAATGTGGCTCTCGCTTTTGCGCCGCGCACATTCGTTCTAAAAAGTGTCAAGAGTTTCACGGACCCCCACGATCAGCATATCAGGAATTGTGTTTCGGAAGGGTTCAGGATTATACGGGTGCATCAGTTATGTTGATTCGCGGTGCTGAAATCCCCAAAACGGCTTTCTGGCACGATTCCGGATCGTCAAGACGCAGCAGTCAGGTTGATCCGTGGCGTTGGAGTCCCGAGAACAATGTTTTGGCATGCTTCAGGATCTTCGAACGGTTGTCTTCCAACGAGGCAATTCCCTCAATGGAAATGAACCGCTGTAGGGGCCTATGAGGAGGGAGCTTGGAGGGAGGGTTCATTCCAACATCGTTGATGACTCTTGGGTTGACACTGGTCCTCCTCCTCCGCGGGGAGCGCCGAGTGGTGGCGGGCAGCCCCACCTCCCCGCCCCCGCCCCGTTGCCCTGGCCCTCTTGACCTTGTGCTCGTTCGCCTGGAGCCCAGACTAGGGGGCCGCATGCGAACCCTACCCCTACCCCCCACGATTTCTGAGGGAGAGGGTGGGGTTCACTTCGCTCGGGAGCTCCCGAACGAAGTGAACCCCACCCTCCCCCTCAGAAATCTTGGGGGGTAGGGGTAGGGTTCGCATGTGGCCCCCTACAGACCCCGACGCCGACTGCGCCCAGGCTGCCGATGGCCACGACGCCAGCAGCTCCTCCGCCTGCGAGGCCGTGCGCAGCACGGCTCACGAGCACGCGCTCAAAGCTGGCTCGGGGGGCTCCTCTCGGAGGCGCGGCGCGCGCGGACCGGGGCAGGCTCGTGGGGACTGCCCTCGGGACCGTGCAGCCTCCCGGGTCCGTCTGGCGAGACGCCCAGGAAGACGGCGAGAGCTTCCTCCACGTTTGCCGCCTCGATCCCTTGGGGTCTGCTGAGCCTGCCGACGACTCTCCTGGCCGTCGCGCCGTCCTCGTCGCCCGAAGCGACGCGGCCCTTGGGGTCAAGTTCGTGCAGCGCACTGCCGCTGACCCCGGGTGGCTCCCGGGGCTGCCCAGTGCCAACGACCTCCTCGTGGCGGCTGGCGACAGGTGGCAGCTGGGGGAGCTGCCATGGCCCGCCTCTCACCTCGACCTCCAGAAGGAGGGCCCTGGGCAGGTCGCGGGCATCGGCGCCTCCATCTCCTTGCCCCGCGCGCTCCCCTCCGCCGCTGCGGTCAACCCGTGCCTCCGCGTGGGGTGGCCCTCGCCCGACTCCGGCGACCCGCTCCACGCTCCCCAGGACTGCGGCCTGGCCTGGCGGGACGCTGAGAAGGGGCCACCTCGGAGCACCGCGGTGGCCGGGCCGCCGCCCGAGGCTGGCCTCCGCCTCGACCTCCTCGCCCACTTCTTGCAGTGGCAGGGGGCATCCACAGCGCCCTGCGGGGCGTCTTTGGCTTGCGGCAATGCCCCGTCTCCCGCCAAGGCTCCCTGCTCGCGCCCGAGGTCCTCGCCATCGCCGGGGACGTCCCCATCGCAGACCGCCGCCAGGCGCTCCGCTGGGACCACATGGCCCAGGAGCTGCTCCCTGCTCCTGCAATGCGCCCAGACTGCGCTGCAGCCGCCGGCGTCCCAGATGGACCTCTCCGGAGTCCCCCCCCCCAGTTGCGGGCAACGGGGACGCCGAAGGCGGCGCCGCGGATGACCTGGCCGGCGGTGCCCCCTCCTCCCCCACCTTGCCCCCCGAATTCAGCAACCTAGGGTCTTATGCTGCCGAGCCCCCATCGCGTCGGACGAGAGCGTTTATGGAACACCGTGTGTGTGTGTGTGTGTGTGTGTGTGTGTCGCCGGGCCTTCCCTCTCCTCCTCACGTGCATCGCGGCTTAATTCGCAATGGTATGCCCTACATTTGCCCCATCCGCCAGCGCAGTCATTCTGCCTAGCCGCCGACGCAAAAAGTGTGTGTGTGTGGCAACCTATGTGTATGGACCTCCTTGCCTGTGGAGCCCCATGTGCGTGAAAGTCCATGCGCGTGGAATGTAGAACCTAATACAGGGAACTGGAAGGCTGTTCCACCGACGGTCATTGTCGCACACTTTGTTTCTACAGCGATTTCACCAAATGTTGCTGCTGGAGGCTTTTGTCTTTATCCTGGCTGCCATCTCAGTGCATTATTCAGTTTCTGTGTCCATTATTGTCTCGGTCTCTTTATCTATGTATCTGTTTTGTTCCTCGGCCGAGTATGTGCATGGCGCTGAGGCGAGATCGATCTTTCGATCTGGGGGTGTGGCCGAGAGACCAGGACACCTTTCCAACTTGAAAATATGGCTTGCAAAAGGGCGACCCTGGGGTCAGGAGAGCTAGGGGACACCCACCTTGCGACTCCTGAGGTAGGAGCGAGGTGGAAACATGTTTCTAAGCTGGAGGTGTGGCCAGCGCCCGGGCGAGGACCATCATGGAGCACAGTAGCTAGCGCGGTACCGCCCAACATGGGACCACTCGTGGGCTCGCGTGAGATGAAGCGAGATCGCCATTCCATGCTGGGATCGCGGCTGGCACGGGGGCGAGAGCTCGGGAAGAGTGGCCGGCGCTGCGGCGGCAGACGTTGGGCAACGGGGAGAGCCAGGATGGAAGGAGGATGACGAGGCGGGGGGGGGAGGAGGGGCATTTTTTTTGTTTTTGTTCTGCCCCGTCGGGGGCCGGCGTCCCAAGTCCAGCAAGCACGGTCCGCGGCTGTTCTGCTCGGGCCACTCGCCAGCGGGGGGTGCGCAAGGGTGAGGCGTCCGAGGGCGGGCGGCTGCGGCGGGAGCCCGACGTGGAGCAGGGGCTCGGGAGGAGGGAGGGTCAGGCACGGCGGCTCGGAGAGATCGTGCTGCGGGAGCCGCAAGAGGCGGCGGGGAGCGAGTCAAGCTGTGGCGAAGCGTCCTGGCTCGCCTATGGGCCCACCCAAGAATGCTCTAAGGACCTCTTGTGGTCTGCACGACATGTTCTTAGAGCACTTCTGGATGGGACCGTCTTGCTTTGGCACATCGGGTCAATGTTCTAAGAACATTGTTTTTGTCCTTAGAACATTTTTGGGTTCTTTTGGGAGGGCACCTCCCCCGATCCATGGATTTGGCGACCGCGCGCCAAAGCCATGGATCGCAAATCCATGTTTGCGCGGCCCCGACTTTCAGAGGGCGGCGGGACTTCTCAGAAGCCCTCGTGCTCAGTTGTTTTCTGCGCCTTCGGGGAAGGCTCAGGGAACTGCCCAGAAGGCCGGGGGGCTTCCGAGCCTTCTGAGGAGTCCCGCGCTTCTCGCGTCCCCGCCAGGCTCGCCGCCGAAACATGAAGGGCCGGGAGTGCACGAGTGCGGCAAGAATGCCCAGGGAGGGCGAGTCGAGACAGCGAGAGTTGGCCCTCGGGGGGCCCCCTCGTCACCCTGGCTGGCCCTGGCTTGGGACGCGCTGGAGCGCTCGGACCCCTGCAGGGGTCCGGGGGCCGATTTTGAGCTGCCGTTGTCACAGCTCGCAGTCCCAGAAGGTCCTGGCCTCCTCCCCAAGGCCGGTTTTTCCTCCCGAGTCGTGTTTGACGGTCCCAGGGCTCGGCGAAGGCCCTCAGAGGCCGAAAACGGCTGACTAAAATCCCCCCACCCCCAGCCGTGCTTTCTCCACGACGCAGGCAGGACTGAGGGCGGGAGTGAGGGCACGGTGAAGGCAAAGCGGCAGGACCCTGCTTGAAGAAGAGCAGGCGGCAGACGCAGAAACTTTCTGCAGGGGGATCCCAGCGCCGATCCAAGAAATCCCCGCGGAGCTCCCTAGGCCTCCCAGAAGGGGTCGGAGCAGATGGGGGTCGGAGGATCGCGCCGCATCGCCGATGCATTGGCAATGCGGCTCGACGTGGAGCCCGATTCTCTTCATTGCCGACGTCGCCGCGGCGTCGCCGATGCGTCGCCGATGCGTCGCCGATGCATCGCCGGTGCATCGGTGATGCGTCACCGACCCCGTCCACTCCGGCCCCGTCTTGGAGGCCTCCAGCGCCGAAAGTTTTCGGTCGTACCGTTTTTTGTTCCTCTGCTTGCGCAGATACGTACCTGCCAGCGCTCTGACGCCGGCCGGCGGGCCCGCGGCGAGGTCCCCGCGTGTGCGGCCGCGGGCGCCGTCGTCGCCAGGGGCCCGGACGGCGACCTCGCGGTGCCGCGTGAGCTCGGTGCGGGCGCCTGGGGTCACTTTGGCGCGTAGCCGAGAGGATCGAGTTTCGGATGTTTTGTTCGCCCTCGGTGGGCCTCCAGGGGGGTCGTCGTCGCCGCGGCTGGATCTGCCTGGGAACCCTGGCCAGAACACACCCGGGAGCAGGTCCAGGGACCGATTGCTGACCCTCCATGTCTACCAGGTGTGGTCCGAGCAGATGGGGTCGGAGGACCGCGCCGCATCGCCCATGCATCGGCGATGCGGCCCGATGCGGAGCCCGATTTTCGCCATGCCGGCGGCGACGACGCGTCGCCGACGTGCCGATGCATCGCCGATACATCAACGACGCGTGAGCGATGCATCGGCGGTGCGGCGCGTTCCCCCGACCCCGCTTACTCGGACCCTATTTGGAGGCCTCGAGCCATCTTTGAGCCTCCCCTTCGAGGAAGGACAACCTTTTTGGATCCGCGGGCCGAGAGCGCACCTCTCTTCCGGTCGGAGCTCAAGGGGCCGTGCACGGCTTCAGTTGACAGAGGGGGGGAGGCAGAAGGAGGGGCCTCACGTCACCGAAGAAGGAAAACACTATATTCAGGAGGGAAAGAAACACACAGACACAATTAATCGGCGATTCCCAGGAAAATATACAAAAATATGGGAAGTGGTGGGGAAGACAAAAACCCAGAAAATATAGGAAAATATGGGGAATGTTTTTATTTGTGTGTATTTATTTGTGTGTCCCAGGGCCCCTTCAGATATGCGCATAAACTTGCGGAGCTCCGCTCGGATCTCTTGGGCCGGCGCCGGGTCCCCCTTGGCGGCGCCGATTCTTTGGATCGGCGCTGGGTCCCCCTGGCGGCGCCTCCCGCGCCGCCCCTGGCGTGCTCCGCACGCCAGGGAGGGGGGCCAGCGCCGATCCAGTAAGTCCGCGCAGACCTCTAATCATTTCGGGGGTGGACAGAACCCCCAACAGTGACACGTCGATTAGTGAATTGTCCGTTTTCGGTTCTCGAGAGGGCGCCGTGGCCGTTATTTTCCAGGCTCGCACCCTCCAGGTTTGGGCTTCAGGTCGTTTTCACTAAACCACGCTTTACTAAAGGGGGGTCTGTCCATCCCCGATCATTGACGCTTACGCCGCTTGTCTTGCTGCTATTAGAGCATCCGTGCTGCTTCCTGCAATGGCAGCTGGATGAGGCTTCACAGCCATCACACTCGGGCGTCCACGTGTCAGGGTCGTGGTGGGGCTCTCTCGAGCATCTGTCGGAACATGCCTCCCCGGACCTTCTTGGACATCCGGAGTTCGTCTCGGAACGCTCTGGCTTTTGTGTTCGTGTGGTGGGGGGATCAGACAGGTGTAATCTAGGCCTCCTAGATGGGGTCCGAGTAGATGCGGTCGGAGTGTCGCGCCGCATTGCCGATGCATCGCAGATGCGGCTCGATGTGGGGCCCGATTTGCTTCACGTCGACGTCGCCGATTCATCGCCGATGTCGACGAAGCATCGCCGGTGCATCACCGATGCATCGCCGATGCATCGGCAATACGGCGCGATCCTCCGACCCCATCTTCTCCGACCCCATCTGGGAGGCCTCGAGGGAATGAAACAGGACTCGGTCAAGTTTTCGCGAAGGATGGGGTGGGTGTGCGTGCGTGTGTCTCTGCCGTGCCCTGGTGGCCTTTGTCCGGCCATTGGCTCCGGCCAGTACTCGACTCTTGTCTTAAGTCGGGCCTGTCCCTCTACAGGAGGAGTATTCAAGAATAGTCCAAACGTAGTGTGGGGGGACGATTTTTGACTATTTTGGAGTGCTTTTTTGGACGATTTTTTATGTTTCGTCCAAAACCCGCCCGTAGGGGGACATGCCCGGCCTGACGCTCGCCGTACTGCGCCTCCACTTGTCGCCCGGGCTTTGCCCCCCCATCCGCTGCACCCTCGCTGCCCGTCGGGACGGCTAGGCTCATCCAGCACGGACCGCCGTTCCGCTCCCGAGGGGCCCGCCGCGCGCGCGTCTCCACCCGCTCGGTGATTTTTTTTTTCCGCCCGGTCGCTGCGCGCGAGGCCGCGATGGCCAAAAGCGTGTGCGTCTGTGTGTGTCTGTGTGCTTGTGTGTGTGTGTGTGTGTGTAAGCGTATATATATATATATATATATACATATAACGGCGCACCGGGTCCGGGGGCCCGGGGCCGGGACCCCGACCACAAATGCGGGCCCCGGGGGGCCCGGAGGCTCGTCGGACCGCCGGACGCCGTCCAAGATCGTTCGCAGGCGGCTTCGGAACGCGCTCCGATGGCTCCAGATGCCTTCCAAGACGCCTGTCATGACACCAAGAAGGTCCCAGAAGCCTCCAAGACGCTCCGAGAGGCAGCCCAAGAGAGGCCCAAGAAGCAAAAATCGTGCCATTCCTATGGGAAAACGTATATTTTTCGCATGTTCGCCTCTTGGGCTTTCACCGCGTCCAAGACGGCCCAAGAGGCGCCCAAGACGGCTACGAGGCCTCCGGGAGCGCTCCAAGGCTGCGCACGAGTGGCCCAGGACGGCCCCAAGACGGCCGAAGAGAGCCCCAAGACGAGTTCGAGAGGGGTCCCAGACGGAGAAAGCCAACCTCGAATTCCGAGCTTCCGGCCCAAGAGGCTCCAGGAGGCGCCAAAATGCCGCCAAGAGGCGCCAAAAGGCTCCCCAAAGCACCCCAAGACGTTCCGAGAGGCACCCCAAGAGAGGTCCAAGAAACAAAAATCGTGCCATTCCTATGGGAAAACGTATATTTTTCGCATGTTCGCATCTTGGGCTTTCACCGCGTCCAAGACGGCCCAAGAGGCCTCCAAGTCGGCCTAGGAGGCCTCCGGGAGCGCTCCAAGGCTGCGCACGAGTGGCTCAGGACGGCCCCAAGACGGCCCAAGAGAACCCCAAGACGAGTTCGAGAGGGGTCCCAGAAGGAGAAAGCCACTCTCGAATTCCGAGCTTCCGGCCCAACATATCCCAGGAGGCGCCAAAACGCCGCCCAGAGGCGCCAAAAGGCTTCCAAAATCAGCCCAAGACGTTCCGAGAGGCACCCCAAGAGAGGTCCAAGAAACAAAAATCGTGCCATTCCTATGGGAAAACGTATATTTTTTTCGCATGTTCGCATCTTGGGCTTTCACCGCGTCCAAGACGGCCCAAGAGGCCTCCAAGACCGCCCCAAGACGGCCCAAGAAGCTTCCAAGAGGGCCCCAGGACAGCCCAAGAGGGCCCCAAGACGGCCCAAGAGGCGCCCAAGATGGCCCAAGAGGGCCCCAAGACGGGCCCAAGAGGGGGCCCAGAGGGGGACCACGAACCGCAAGCTCGAGCCTTCCGCCCCAAGAGGCCGCCAGGAGGCCCCAAGGAGGCCCCTCAAGAGGCCCCAGGAGACCCCCAAGAGGCCCAAAGGAGGCCCCGAGAAGCCCCAAATCGGCCCCCAAAATGCTTCGAACCTGCTTCCAGGAGGCCCCCGACAGGTTCAGAGGCTCCCGAGAAGCTACGTCAAACTCCCAGCGAGCGGCCGGACGAGGCCCCCCACAAAATCACAAGAGGGTTCCAGTATTTGTATCCTTCAGCGCTCTCTGGCCTTCTTCCCCCTGCCCCCTTCCCTGCGACTTTCGTTGACTCAAGCTCGCCTCCTAGCTAGAACCTAAGCGCGCGCGAAGCGCGCGCGTGGTTCTAGTATATATGTGTTTGTGTGTAGCCCGCCTAGCTTTTAGCGGAAGAGGTTCGCTCTCGCCCCGCCGACCAAAAAGTGTGTGTGTGTGTGTGTGTGTGTGTGTGTGTGTTTGTGTGTGTGTGTGTTTGTGTGTTTGTGTGTTTGTGTTTGTGTGTGTGTGTTCATTTGATTTCTGTGCTCGAGAGGCCGGGCGCGAAGGTACCAGCGACTTCTGTTTGCTGTTCCGTCTCCCGAGCTCTTCCACGGGCCCCTTCCCGCGGACAGCACCTAGCCTGGAGAAGGTGCCGAAGCATCGAAACTGAGTTCTGTCGCGATCATGCTGCCATCCTGGTGACACGCTTATCGGGCACAGCTCGTGTGTCTCCTTTCGGCGGGGCGGTTGCTGAGCCTGAGGGCTCCCTCTTGTGAGCCAGTCGGCGCCGGCCGATTGAGTTTGGAGTGCAACCTTTCCCTACTTGTCTTGGCTCTCTCTCTCTCTCGATCCCTCACTCGCCCCCCCCCTCTCTCTTTTTATACTTTGACTTTTCCTTGTCTTTGTCTCTGTCGCTGTCTCTGTTTCTGTTTCTGCCTCTCTCTTTCTCTCTCTTTCTCCCCCCCCACCTCTCTACTTTCGCACCTTCTGCAGGAATTCTTCACGCTTCGCGTATCCCCACCAGCCCATCTCAAAACAGCAACTCTAGCGAAGCATGCCGACAGTCGTGTTTTTCAGGCGTGTTTCCGCCTGCCCCCGCATATCTCCCCTGTTCCTCCTTCCTCCCGCCTCCTTGTACATCCTCCTTGTGGTGGGAGCGGGAGAAGGACGAGGCGGAGGAGGAGGGAGAGAAAGCGCTCCTCGTGGTTTGAGTCGTTCGGGCTTCTCGTCCTGGTGTGAGTCGTTCGGGCCCTTCTTCCTGGTGTGAGTCGTTCGGGCTCTTCGTGGTGTGAGTCGTTCGGGCTCTTCGTCCTGGTGTGAGTCGTTCGGGCTTCTCGTGGTGTGAGTTGTTCGGGCCCCTCGTCCTGGTGTGAGTCGTTCGGGCCCCTCCTCCTGGTGTGACTCGTTCGGGCTCCTCGTGGTGTGAGTCGTTCGGGGCCCTCGTCGTGGTGTGAGTCGTTCGGGCTCCTCGTGGTGTGAGTCGTTCGGGCCCCTCGTCCTGGTGTGAGTCGTTCGGGCTCCTCGTGGCGTGAGGCGTTCGGGCACCTCGTCCCCTTTTGGGGCGTCTTGGGGGCCTCTTGGCGGCCCCAGGGGCTTCTAGGAGCGTCTTGGGTGCCTTGGGGGAGCCTCTTCGGGCCTCTTGGGAGCCTCTTGGAGGCCGTTTGGGGCGTCTTGGGGGCCTCTTGGCGGCCCCAGGGGCTTCCAGGAGCGTGTTGGGTGCCTCGGGGGAGCCTCTTGGGGCCTCTTGGGGGCCTCTTGGGGGCATCTTGGGGGCCTCTTGGAGGCCTCTTGGGGGCCTCCTGGGGGCCTCTTGGGGCCATCTTGGGGCCTCTTGGTGCCTCCTGGGCGCTTCTTGGGGCCATCTTGGAGGAAATCGATCAAAGAAGAGGGGAGCTTTAATTAGCGCTGCCCCCTCAGAAGGCCAAAATGGGGCCAAAACCTAGTAAAATCAATGATTTTGGCTTGAAAGAAGAGGGGGGCTTTAATTAGCGCTGCCCCCTCAGAAGGCCAAAATGGGGCCAAAACCGTAGTAAAATCAATGATTTTGGCTTCAAAGAAGAGGGGAGGGTTTTATCTCCCCCCCCCCGTCGGGGCCAGAATCCTCGTGAGGGGTGTCGTTTTTTAGCCCTCCCAGGAGTCGAAAAAGACCCCTCCAACGACCCGCGAAACCCCCTCTCCAGGTCCAGGGGGAGGGGGTAGGGGGAGGGGTAAACCCCTCCCCGAAGGGGAAGAAGGGGGGGTGAGAACAGAGAGAGCTCGCTAAACCACTCACGCCCAAAGGGCTGGTGGGATTTGTCGAGGGCTCTCCGGGGCCCGAGTACCTTGTCAGGATGGTTCCTGGGAGGCGCTTCAGGGGTCTAACCTGAGCCTGGCGGGGGGGGAGACCACGTTTTGTTTCAGATGCGCGTAATGAACAGGTGACGCTCCCGTGCCCCCACCAGGCCGTTCAGAAACGATGCCCAGGCGATTTGTTGAATTGCCAGAAGAGCTCACCCATGTCGAACTAAGAGGCCCCTCGAAGCCTCTTGGAGGCCTCTCAGAGCAATCTGGGAGCTCCCTCCGTGTGCCCTCGGAGGCTCCTTTGGACCTTTCCTGGAGCGCCTACACAGTAGGAAGATATCGATCAGTTAAGTGGGCACGTGTTCTATTGAAGAGTTGAGACGACGACGAGGGGCGAGGACGTGGATGAAGAGTGGGACGATGCGGCTGACGATGACGATGATGATGATGATGATGATGATGATGATGATGATGATGATGATGATGATGATGATGATGATGATGATGATGATGATGATGATGATGATGATGATGATGATGATGCTGATGATGATGAAGATGATGATGATGATGATGATGATGATGATGATGATGCTGATGATGCTGATGCTGATGATGATGATGATGATGATGATGATGATGATGATGATGATGATGATGATGATGATGATGATGATGATGATGATGATGATGATGATGATGATGATGATGATGATGATGATGATGATGATGATGATGATGATGATGATGATGATGATGATGATGATGATGATGATGATGATGATGATGATGAGATGATGATGATGATGATGATGATGATGATGATGATGATGATGATGATGATGATGATGATGATGATGATGATGATGATGATGATGATGATGATGATGATGATGATGATGATGATGATGATGATGATGATGATGACGATGATGGTGATGACGACGAGTGCGACGATGACAGCGAGGAGGGTAAGGGGGAGGACAATGTCGAGTGAGGGGAGGAGTACACCGGTGTCATGTCGGGACTTTGGGGGGGTCCGCCGTGGCCACGGAGCCCTCTCGACCTTCTCCTTCCGTTGGACGTGGGCGCTGGGTCTCGAGCTGCGAGGGCCCCGAGGGCCCAGAGCAGTGGCGCGCGCGGGAACACGGACAGTGAAGGGCCCGGGGAAGAGGGGCGAGGAGCAAGCGCGGAGCAGGTCATTTGCAGGAGGGGGAGGAGTCGGCGGAGGAGGTGGAGGAGGAGGAGGAAGACCGGGGGGAGGAGGAGGAGGAGGAGGAGGAGGAGGAGGAGGAGGAGGAGGAGGAGGAGGAGGAGGAGGAGGAGGAGGAGGAGGAGGAGGGGAGGAGGAGGCGGAGGAGGAGGAGGACAACGATGCGGCGTCAGGCGGCGCAGACCTCGCCGCGGTGTCGAAGGGCCTCCTGGAGAACCGCCGCCTGCAGGCGACGCTGCGCACGGCCATCGCGGCCGCGGAGGAGGCGCGTCGGGGGGGGGGGGGGGGGGGGGGGAGCCTGGCCCCAGGACTCCAGCTCGGGCGCCCACAGGCGGCAGGCCCGAGGCATCTCACGTCGTGCCCGCACCCCGTTTTCCCTTGGACCTCCGCGGCGCCCCTCGAGCACACGGGCGCAAGCAGGACCTCCGCTTCGCTTCGCACCTCGTGCCTTCCTCTCTGCTTGGGCCTGCCTGGAGTGGTGCCCATCCGGCGTGGTCGTTTGGTCGTTTGGCCTCTTCCTTCTGGACAGTTCTCAGGAGGGGAGAAAACACACAGACACAATTAATCGGCGATTCCCAGAAAATATGGGAAAATATGGGAAGTGGGGGGGAAGACAGAAACCCAGAAGATATGGGAAAATATGGGGGATATTTTTATGTGTGTGGATTTATTTGTGTGTCCCAGTTCCCCTTCAAGTTCATGGGGGCCGCGGCGAAGGAGATGGCGACCCCCGGCGCAGTGGTCGCCCTGGAACTCGAGAAGGCTGCGTGGCAGCGTTGCAGGCGGTCGACAGCGAGCGACCAGCCGAAGCGCACAGCGCTTTCGCGGAGCGTGATCCCTCCGATCCTGATCGGATGTACACCTTAGGCGATGCTTTAGAAAACTTAAGTTTTCGGCCAGAGTCTCGATGATTCTTAACGTTTCAATGTAAATCTTAAGATTTTAATAGAAATGTTGGGTTTTTATTCAAGTTCTGAGACTCTGAGTTTCTTAACCCATGATTTCTTAAGCATTTCGCAGGGTGTAGATTCGTACGCCCACAGGGTGACCAGGGCACGAGGCAGGATGCGCATCGCAGGGAGCCAGAGAGGGGGGGAGGCGCGGCGACAGAGGCACATCAGCTGAGCAGGAGGGGGACGAGTAAGTTATGGGGGGAGGCCGCGGGAGAGGGCTGCCGATGCTTCGGCCCCGCCCCCTCCTTCCCATGCTCCCGATCGTCCCAGATATCCCCTCTTCGTCTTGCTCCTCCGGCTCCCCCCTCCACCCTCCCCCTTCACCCTCCCATCCCCCGCCCTTCCTCCCAGTGGCCCCCTGCCGTCTCTGGTGCCACCCAGGCGGGCGTCAGGAACTCGAGGCAGACCGAGCAGCTGGCGGAGTATATCTCGGGGCAGAAGAGCGCACCAGAGCGGCGGGCGCGCCCGCACGAGAGGGGGGAGGAGAGTGGAGGAATGTGGGGGGGGGACGAGGAATCACGAGGGG